TACTCTGTTTCCAACTTTCACATTCTAATTACCAGTAATTATCAATGCATCTTCATTACATGTTTGATCAATTTCAGACTGAAGAAGTTGGTTAGAATTTTTCAATTTTATCTTTATCATCACTGACTTTAGTGTTTGGTATACAAATTTGAAAATAGTGGTATTAATTTGTTTTCCTTGTAGGTATAAGAATATTATCCTATCACAGACATCATTGTACTTCAAAATAGATCTTGAAAATCTCTTTTCGAGGATGTATGTGATACTATTTTTCAATTTGTCATTCCTGGCATAGCAAACCATGTGATTGTCTGATTTAAAATGGCAAATACCAGTCCATTTCAGCTCACTGATGCCTAGGATATGCATCTTTATGAGATTCGTTCCATTTTGACAATGTCCAATTTCATACACTCCACATTCTGATTACGGATGGAAGCAGCTTGTTGTTGTTAAGTGTTGTGGTTACTGGGAGAAGCTGGTGGGTTTTAATGGCCGACCTTGTGGATAGCAGTCCAGTGTTTATCCTACAATGCCATATAAGGGCTCCAGTGGAAACAGATAAAAGGAAATAAAATTAGAGGCAAAGCTTAGACTGAGGAGGGAGCAAAAAAGGAGAGAAAACTTAAGAAGAAAAGGCAAAAAGTTTCATTAGAAACCCCACCAGGTACCCCTTCACCTGCCACAGGATGGAACCTCCCATCTTAAGGCCAGTACAAGGCCTGGGTCAACAACTGTAGTTTCAATTTTCTGTCTCTCTTTGTAATTTTTTTCCTCATAAAGGACAAATAGGATAAGTACTTGACCAAGAGGTTGGTTTGAACCTCAAGATTGGCGACTCGAACTCACCAGCTACTCCTCCGAAATCCTATACAGGGTCACTATAAGTAGGAAATGACTGAAAAGCAGTTAAAAACAATAAGGGAAAAGACTTTAAAAGAAACAGCCAGGAGAGATAAAACATAGGGAAATGATTGATTTATCTTTCAGCGTTGAGGAAGCATTGTTGGTTTTCCTGGAATTGGTTCTCAGAGACCTATGTTTAACAGAAAGAAACCTTGCTCAGTGCTATGCTAGCTTCGTGATCTTTGGTATGTTTGAGTCCACTGTTGTAAATGATTAAAAATACTCATTAGTCATTTGTTGCCTTTTTCTTTCTTTTTTTGAGAACAGATGAAAATATATTTTAGCAGTAAATCTAGTGTGACTAAGAGAGTGGGGTGGCTAAGTTTGGGAGGACAAGAGACATATTTCCTTAGATGAACTTAGGAGAGGGAGATCTTGGGGATTTTTCTAACATAATTGCAATATTTCTCACTTTAGAGTTAATTATTTTATTCACTCATCTTCCTGGGCAAAGTGGAAAAATAGAGAAAGATGTATGAATGGCTCACAGCATCTTTTCACTCCCGGTAACTACTGTGGCTTTAGACAGGCAGGGCAAAGGCATCCGGAAAAAGACCGTTGGTGTCATTGCTGGCATTTCTGTTTGTGGGTCCATAATTTAAATTTAGTCTTCAGAAACTTCCTTTTCCTGTTATTTGCTAAAGGTGATTGTTTCTAGGTGGCCCAAACGGTCTCATTTGCTGGTGAGTTTCTGTTACGCATTTTAAGAATCTTCGATATTGACACCAACCGTCTCTGCCGCGTCTTGCTGGTTGGGTCAGAGGCGGGAAACCTGTAGGACAAATTTTCGAGTCAAGCGTTTCCCTGTCTGGGACCTGGGCACAATTTGATTACCAGCTCACAAATAGTTCCTGATCTTGAGAACAACTCTGAACTCCGTTTGTAAAAGCGAATATTTTAGTTCCAGTCTAAACGTTCACAAGAATGAATGGATTCCTCTAACCACTGTATTTTTTTTTAGAATCAAATAACTATTTTACTGTTTGGGAGTCACGGTAAGGGTGTTGTTTATTAAACCGCAGTCTCTTTGGATATGATGACGAGGGGATGGAAAGTAATTTGAAATCAGGCGAGAGAAATTAACACCCGAGGAGTTCCAGGCTGGCGATGACGAGAGCGCGCAAGTGCACGCTTCCAAAGCCTAGGCGACTCGTCCGGCGCGCGGTCCCGGCAACAGCGGCTCCAGCTGCGTTGTAACTGCTACGTCATGATCTCTTTCGCTCTCATTGGTTGATCTTATCCAATCATGTGACCTCAGCCTGGCATATAAATAAGGGCGAGGAGACGTCGGTAGTCCGCCATTTCGTGAACGCCGGGTAAGCCTAAGCTTCTTCTGTGGCCTGTCGGAGGCGAACGAGAAGATCCATTCGCGTGTGTGATTTTAAGCCTCTGCGTTTCTAACGTGATATTTCGGTAAGAAACTGGAGACAAAAAGAGTGAAATAGGAAGCTGTATTTAATTGTCGGGAGGTGGGGCCAGGCCCAATGGCGGCGCCAGATCGAAACAAAGAGGCGCCGCCGCCATTTTGTGACGTTCTGCACGGGGTGGTGGCGGAGGCTCCCGGCCCATCTGAGACCTTTTCCTGGCTTGGGTGTGGAGGTGCTTATTCCCCTTCGTAGTCAGGGAGCCTGGGTGGTGCTTTGTGCGTGAGTTGTTACCAACGCGGAGCGAGTAACCGGATAAAGTACCGCGCCGCGGCCTTTCAATTTATGGCGCCTTTTTTTGGTGGGGGGGGGAGGGCTCCTTTTTTGGAGAAAGATGAGGCTTTCTGCTCCCGTGAAGATTTACATCCTCGGAAACCCTGTACAGGGTCGCTATGAGACGGAACCGACTCCACGGCACATCACCACCTCCTTAGGTTTTTTTCCCCTCCGGTCACTAGTTAGCACCGGGCCTTTAGCTATCTTCCTATTGGTATTTCACCTCGCCTTTCTCAAAGGTTCCAGGCCATCAGCATCCCTTTCGTGTTTATTTTAACCGCGTTTCACCGGCCGAACTTCAAAAATGAAGCCTGAGGGTGATCTTAGAGCGAGCAGCTTTGTTCTCTTGCAGCTTCTTCCCATGACTCCGTGGGCCCGAAACTGGTCACGATAGCTTGTTTGTTTTTTAAAATCAGTTCACTCAGTGGTTTCCATTCCCGGCTTGGGGTTCAGGGTGGAGTCTGGGTCAGTAGTCGGTGTCTGGCGGGCTTTTTTATTAAGCAACTAGAGAGCGAGCGGAAGGCGATGTTTGTGGAAAGGCTGGCCTGTAATTGAAACCGATCAACCAGTCGATTAACTTCCGGGCCATGAGGGACATTGGTAATTTGATGATTTTTATGGAGGCAGCGACAAACCCAGAACAGGAAATGAACCATTTTAAAAGTGTATACGCAGTGGTATTTGGTCCATCCCACAATGTTGTGCAACTGTTGACTATTTCCAGAACGTTTTCATCTCCCCAAAGGGGAGAGACCCTGTCCCCCTTGCCCCTTCCCAGACCGTGTTGTCTCCGCTTGAATTCCGACTCAAGCCGACTCCATGTGTGTGAACTGCTCTGACGTTTTCCGTACTGTGATCCTTTGGAAGGTTATTGCTGCCAGGCCTGTGTTGCTAAGGCTCCTCTGAGAAGGTTCGAACAGCCAACCTTTTGGGTTAGTCACCGAGAGCTTTAGCCTTTAACTGTGAGCCTCCCAGGGACGGACGCCTTCAAGGCCGGCCAGAAACCACCATTTGCTTTCTGTCTCCGGATGAACTATATGGGAGACGTTATTTAGTTACAGAAATGGAATCTTACACTATGGGAGATGTGCGGCTTTCAGTAGTTTATTTCAAATTCAGCGACGTTGAAGCTTTTGTTTTGAGGGGGGAGGGTATTCCAAAAGGTTTGTGGAAAATGGAATTAAAAGATACGCGATTTTTATTTTTGCCTCTCCCCTATAATTGTAGAATATTTCATTATGTATATTTCATTTTGATTATCCATATATTGAGGGACTTTTGGCTGTTAGGAATAGTGCCATGTGCATGTACGTATATGTGTATATATAGTTACTGAAGTCCTGGTGTGGCGCTGTGGGTTAATGCGCTTGGCTGTAAAGTCGGTTTGAACTGCAAGGTTAGCGGTTCATGCTCATCAGCCACTCCTCGGAAACCCTATACAGTGTCACTGTGGGTCAGAAACGACTCGACAGCACACAACATACGGTTATTAAAACCAATATTTTCACAGGAAAGTTTCTGTGACATTCCAAGGATTTTTTTTTTTAAGATATAAAATGCTTGGCACGGATTTCTAGCTTATGAAAGCAGATTTGTATCATTTATCTGATGGGTTAGCATTAATTTTCTTACTTTCTTACATGTTTGCCCTCCCACCCCCTTTTTCCTCCCATTAACGTTTTTGCATTCCAAGTCACTGCTTGGAAACCCTCTAGAGGGTCGCTATGGGTGGGAACCTTCTCCAGGGCACTTAACAACAACATAGTACATACATCTGTTAGAGTTAAATTCATTTAGCTGTTTTCTGTCTGACAAATTGGTGTACTCTAGAGCAGTTTATATTTTTCTATCACTTTGTTTGGGGGTTAAATGAGATAACTGGTGGTTAAGCCCTTAAGTGCCTAGAGAGTAGTAAATGTGCCTCCAGTGTTTGCTTCTCAGGTAGGCCCCCCCACCATTTTTGTGTACTGGGTTCCTGGTTTTGGTGGGGGTGTGTGAGGTGGTTTGAATAACAAAAGATTGAGGGGGCATGGATGTTGCAACTGTTTTTTTTTTTTTTTAGTTAATTTTATGGTAAAATATAAGAGGGGCTTCAAAAGTTCATGGGCGAATGGAATTAAAACATAGTGAGATTTTTTTCCCATGAACTTTTTGAAGCCCTTTATATAATGAAATGGTTGATTCAATATTTTTTGTGCACAATTTAGTGACATTTCATATAAGGAGGGGTGTCATACATTTGTTCTGTTAGTGACTACATGTTTTTAGCATGTATCAACTTCTTACCCTTTTATGGATTGTTTCAAAGGTAATAAACGTTTCCAGATATTTGGTTGCTTGTATAGGGTATATGGGTTAATATGTAATATTTTGGGTCCATTTTTATCATTACAGAAATGCATCGTGATTCCTGTCCTTTAGACTGCAAGGTTTATGTAGGCAATCTTGGAAACAATGGCAACAAGACTGAATTGGAACGTGCTTTTGGATATTATGGCCCCCTCCGAAGTGTGTGGGTTGCTAGAAACCCTCCCGGCTTTGCTTTTGTTGAATTTGAAGATCCTCGGGATGCAGCTGATGCTGTTCGAGAGCTAGATGGAAGGTAATTAAAAAAAAAAAGAAAACTACATATTTTGTCTGCTGTAGATTTTTTTTTTTTGCTGTGTGTATCATCAATCAAAGTTTCTGTAACCTATTAAAAAAAAAGCTTAAGTAAATTTTAGTGGAAATATGTAGGCAGTAAGTTTTACTCAGCTGGCAATTGAAGAAAGTTCCTAAGACCAATAATGTCGGATCTAAGTTTTTGTTGGGTTTTAAGTAACTTGGAGAGAATAGCAGCATCCTGGCCAGGCCAGGAGGTGTTGATAATGGTAGCTGTATGATGGTTCGTTCCACAAGGATTATTTATGTTTGAAATATTTAATCCAGGAAATGTGAGTTTATTCTCTCTTACCTTTGTTTATAATATCCTGTTGGCTCAATTATTAGCTGACTGATTGTATAAGTGTGGCTTTGTGTAGGATAAGCACTGGACTGCTAACTACAAGGTCAGCTGTTCAGACTTACCAGCTGCCCACTCAAACCCTATACAGGGTTGCTATGAGTCCTAACAGCACAGAACAAGTTTTACTCTAGGACATAACATCTTTTCTGGCATTTGAAAATCATTGGGTTCCAAGTAACCCAGGAAAACTGATAATCTTTCAGAATTTTATGTCCTGAAGTGGACAGATGGCCCTAAATGGATCTTTTATGTGCTATATTACTTTTTTTTTTTTAAGATTTGATGGTTGGCTAGAAATGTATGAAATATCATTGTTGATACAAACAAATGGACTCCTGGTATGGCACTGTAGGATTAGTATTAGACTATGGACTAAAAGGTCATTGGTTCAAACCTACCAGCTGCTCTTTGGAAATCCTATTACAGGGTCGCCACGTCTTGGAAACAACTCAACAGAGCTGAACAGCAACTACATAATACAAATTGCAGAAAAGGGCAATTTTCCTAAATTTAAGGTTGTGTACCAGTAGAAGAATGGAGGTGTTGGGATTACTCCCTTTTTAGTGTTTCCAGCCATTTTTTTTAAAATTCAAGTATTGTAGGTTGAAGTTAATACTAGGTCTATATGGTTCAGAACCTGGTCTATGAGGATTGGGGAGGCAACACAAATACAGTGGAGTATAAGATGTGTAACTGAAATAATTGAGACTGAAGGGAGTGTGTGAACTAGGTCAAGGATGAGGTTTTAAATTTACACTTAAATAGCACCTAAATCAACAAATTAGCATTTAGCTTATTTTACAGTAACTTGAAAAACAAAACACTGTTACCCATCATAATAAAGAGTAGGACAAATTTGCAGTATTTAATAAAACTATTGAACCATTTTCCTTTAATATGAGTTAAAATTTGTAGGGGGAAGAATGTACATTGAGCCCCCTAATTAAACTGACTCTAACATAACTCATAAAATACAAGGAAACTGTTTTCTATTTTTGTGAATTGTTATTAAGTGCCGACATTGATTTCCGACCCATAGTGACCCTGTATAGGGTTTCCAACATTGTTTTTTATGAAGAGGATGATTATTCATGAGTCCAAATTGACTTGAAGACAGCTGGCAACACATTTAGATGTGTTGTTTGCTATACATTGGAAAGTTTGCATTGTTTACTAAATTGAAATTTTATAATTTACCTTCCTAAGAACATTGTGTGGCTGCCGTGTAAGAGTGGAATTGTCAAATGGTGAAAAAAGAAGCCGGAATCGTGGTCCACCTCCCTCTTGGGGACGTCGCCCTCGGGATGATTATCGTAGAAGAAGTCCTCCACCTCGTCGCAGGTACTTGAGAGATAGTGTTTAAAGGTATTGGTATAATGGAGTAGCTAATAGGAGCCAGGTATTTCTCAAAGTATGTTGATGGGTTTTTAGCTTAATATTGTGAAGAATCAGAGGTTTTTATGAAACATTGTGCTGGGCAGTAGTTTTTGGGGTATGTGAGTTGTGCTGAGTGTTGGCTTTGTCTTTTAGATCACTATTCATGTTGGTAGTTAGTAACTTCTATCTTGGATCTATCTTCTAGTTCATCTTCTAGTTGCATCTTTCTAAGTCTTCCCTTATACTTCAATTTAGGCCTTTTTCCATTTCTTGACTCCATAATGACAAACATTACATTCAATTCTAGTTCTTCACAAAAAAGTGTTTTCTACTATTAGCATGATTGTAATATTTATCAAACAGACAGCTGTTTTAATGTTACAACTGATAAAGTAGAAATCATTCTGAAACTAAAGTCACTGACCAAAAAAGGGGACTTAAAAAATGAAGTAATCCCAGTCATCTATTCTTCAAACCAAAATAGGAGAGAATTCAGTTTTTTGCTTTTGTTTTTTGGTGTTTTTGTTTTTTGTTTTTTTTGGTAATTGAAAATGGCATCATTCTTGGACCAGGCAGTACTGTCTGGGTTCTAACTCCACATTTCCTCAAACCTCCAAAAATAGTTTTCTACAGGACTGAATTTACCTCTTACAGGTGAGTGCAGTCCTAGGAGAAAGGAGTTCACAATCTTACCCCTTTTGCTATTTTGAAAAACAAAACAACACACTGTTGCCCATCATAATAAAGAGTATTTGTTAGCTAATAGATGGTTGTACTGATGGCTTGTTTTTTTTTTTTTTTCATTTTTTTTGTGCTTTTTGGTCCATCTATTAATAAAAATGAACCCCGTTACAGAGTCACCATCATGTCTCTTCTCACCACCCTCTGAGTCTGCATTAGCCAGTCAACTACCCCTTTCAGCGTCATGTGACCAGCGCGCCCCATTCAGCTTGGCTGGTGTCGTTTCACATGACCCAGGCATGGCCAGTCGCCAGGTTGCACCGCCCTTTGGTTCCCGAGCATGCTGTTTTCTCTCAGCCTTCTCTCCAACCTTAACCAAATCGGCAGCAGCCACCTCGACCGCCCACACATTCCTGGCCAATCAGCTCAGCTGTTTATTTACCAAATGTCTTCACAACAACTACAGCAGCAGCCTTCGGCTAACAAAAAAGCAGGAAAAATCCACAACACCCCCTTCGCCAACCAACTAAATCCAACGCAACATCTGGCAAAACCTTTTCAGCAAATTCTTCCTGGCCGTCAGTCCGGCAGCCTCACCTCACCATTTCTAGCTTGTTGAAACCCAAAACTAGTAAGTTTTTCCTGCTTATACAGTTTACTGCTGGTTAAAATAAGGAGTAAGCGGCTTAAAGTAATTCTATTTTCTGGATCAAAGGCTGGCTGTGCATAATTGAATGGTAACGTACATATATATTGCTTGAATAAAACTTTTAAGGGTGATAGGGAACTCATAATGTAACTAGTCATTCAAGTGGAATTTATTTGCATGTGTGAGATGCCAAACTAAATTTTAATATATCTAACATTTAGCTTTTCCTTTCTAGCAAAAAATTGTTGAATCCTTATCACCTTTAAATGGTTTTACTAACAGTTTTCAAAATTTAAAAACAATTTTTGGGGTGAAGTGGGCCAACCTTAAGGTAATTTTGTAAGTCTAAACACACTCTTAAATGTGACGATCACAATTGCAGTTCTAATGTAGCACTTTAATGGCATCGATATTTACACCTAGCGCGTTATCACCAAATTACACTATCCACCCGGTACCTAAGTCTTGTCATGGACTTCTGGGTTTGCATGGGTTCCAAATACTGGTTTATGGTACTGTTTTGGAACTATTTGTGGGACTACATTTTTGTGTGGTGTTTGGGTAGTGAAGTTAGTTTGACATGAAGTTTTGCATTGGACAGATCTGCTGTGAAGCGTTCTTGGTTAAAGTGAATTCATGGTTGGATACCTGCTTTTTTCCACTTGAGCTTTTTATTCCTTGATCTTTCTGTGCCTTTTTAATTTTTTCTTTTCTTTCTTTTTGGTTTTGGGTGTTTTTTTTTTTTTGGTTCTGGTTTTTGTTTTGAGTTTTTTTTGACGGTGGGTGCCAGTTCTTCGGCACATTCACTGGGCCCAACAGTGAAATTGAAAAGTTGGGAAATGCCTCACGCCATCAGTAGTAATTGATAAGTAGCCTAATTTTTCTGTTTCTGCTTTTAGATCTCCAAGGAGGAGAAGCTTCTCTCGCAGCCGGAGCAGGTACTAACTGATGTTCTTTTAGGGGCCAGATACTCAAAAATTAGTGTTGTCTCTGTTGTTTCAAATGACAGGGTTAATGGTAACATCTTAAACTAATGGGGAATTGAGTGTAGTTTGTACATTTTTGTTGTGTGTGATTATTACACTTGCCCTAATGTTTCATGTCTTGTTTAGGTCCCTTTCTAGAGACAGGAGAAGAGAGAGATCACTGTCTCGGGAGAGAAATCATAAGCCATCCCGATCCTTCTCTAGGTCTCGTAGGTAAGTAGATTTTGAGTGACTTAAACTGTTAAAGACCTTGCATATTTTAAATATGGAAATCAGACATGTCTTCCAAGACATTTTGATAATTTTACCTCAAAAAGAACTTTAACACATCCTTAATAGAGGTATAAATTTTTTACTAATCACCTTTTTTTTGTTTTTTTAAGCCGATCTAGGTCAAATGAAAGGAAATAGAAGATTGTTTGCAAGAAGAGTAGTGGTGTACAGGAAATAACTTCATTTGATGGGAATATGTACAGAAAATTCAAGTTTTGTTTGAGACGTCAGAAGCCTGGTGCATTTTTAAGATGTTTAGCTGTTCGAATTTGTTTGTCTCTTGTAACAGTGACACATGAAGATGTAATTCTCTATGGTTTGAAATGGATCATATGAGGCATGTAATAAACAAGAATTTATTACTTTACAATGTCCCCTTAAGCAAAATTGAATTTGCTTTGAACTTTGAGTCTTGCCTAGACTCATAATAAACCTCCAAATCTTGCCCAGCTAAAGTGTGATGTTTTAATATTACAAAAATAAATCTGACAAAAATTGAACTAAGAATAATTTCTATTCATAGCTGGGATATAGGATGCAGCTGTAGTCCATAAGCAGTCTTTAAAAGCTAAGAATGTAAGCAGCAGATGAAAGTAACAGCTGTACCGTGAAGCTAGGTTAGAGGTTTTAAAAATATTAAGTCTTCACAATGTGCAGAAATTGCCCAGTTGGTGTAGAATCTAATAGATTAGTTTTTCACTTTTGCTTTAGGTCATAAATTTCGTATATGATTGCTGTATATGAAAAGTTGTAACATCGTTTATTTGGAAATTTGAGACTTCAAGATACCTATGCCAGTTTAAGGGTACATTGTAGAGCTGGACTTTTTTGAGTTAACTGTGCAAGATTTTTTTTCATGATGTCATTTTGTATTATGTTTTGTGAGAATCCTTGGGATTAAAGTTTTGGTTTATAAATTGTTGTTTAACTTGAAAGCCTGTTTTTCCTTGCAAATCACAATCTGAGCTTGGTATCAAGTCCAGGTATAACATTCCTATTGGAAGCCATACTTATATTTTCTTGTAAAATGCTATTGAAGTAATAAAATATTAGCTTAATTGTAATATAGTCACTTGAATCCACTGCTACCACAGTTCTTCTTGTCCCATGAAAAAGTTGGTTATTTAATTCTTAACAAATGATTTGAGAGGGCACTATGGATTAGTTGTCACCCAAGTGACAGTTCAGGTCCATCATCACTCAAGTGACCATCACCATTTCAAAGTATTAGCAACCTCCAGTACATTGTAACAGTAAAGTTGGCCCGTAAAAAGTCTTTTTATCATTAGCATGAAGATTTTTTCAAAGTTTCAAAATTTGCTTTCATTTCATATAATTTGAAGTATTGCATGGAAACTAAATTGTCCATCATGATGTAAAATTTCACATGGTTCAAATGTAACAATGAAGAATAAATATGGAGGCATGCCTAATTTTCCTTTTAGAATTAGGAGCTGTAATATAAAATTTGTGTGCAACTAGATTAAATCATAATGCAACAGTCTTGTGGCTTAGTTTTCTTAAATGTGCTCTTTAAAGATAGTTTTGACTTTGTCTTTAATATGAAAAAGTCATTGCATTGTAAGGATTTTTAAACAAGTGAAATTTTAAGTGCTTCTCTTAATATTCCATGCAAATTTTAGTGAGGAAAAAATTTGTGTCAGGTTCAGTATGAACCTTGTTATAGTTGCACAGGCTTGCCAGGGAGATGCTATTTATTGAGAGCTTTGTCTTTTTGAACTTTTTTGTCATGATGTTTTTCCATAGCCTAAACACTCATTTTAAGGAAAAGTCAAGACAATGATACAAGAGCTTTTTCTGTAGTGTACAAATTAGTTTTGCATAAAAAGGACTCAGTTATGCAACATTGAAAGCCAAGCTCTCAAGTATGCTTATCTCAATATTAAAGTTCATTTGGGGATGGCTTTTTGCTCTAATGTGTTAAAAACAAAAAGTGAAAACAAGTTAGCCAGTGAGTTTATTATGAGACCAGTTTTACCATCAACCATATGGCCTGTTGGTTTATGTGTCTATTCCTTTTAGTAGATTATGGTTTCTGGATGGGAAGTACCCCCTTTTAATAGATTATAGTATCTGGATGAGAAATCCTGACTGCTTTTTTTATTGTAGTGTTCTGTCTCATTTTACTCTAGTACTTACCAAAATGATGGTTTATCTTAACAATTTCAATCATATACACATTCTGATTCCAGACCCACTGACTAGATTTCCAGGGTAGTTTTAGCCCTGCGTGATTTGGAAGAGATAACTCCAGGTGATAAGTGAAATCACTGGTGTATTTTGTTTTAATGTGCTTGTATTTTCAGAATTCTGAAAATTATTTAGTAGTCCAGTCTAGTTGGTAAATGTGTATATCTTTTGTGTATTTTTTTTGTACTTCTAGACTGTTGCCTTCTGGTTTTTTTTTTTTTTTTTTAAAGAACATCTAAGATTTTTATAATTAAAAAGTAGCTGAAGTTAAACTTGGGTTGGAGTATAATTTTATCAGAACAAATGTAGTGTTCTAGGTTTTATATAGCCACAGAAATGCTTCATCTTGTATTAAGAGTACACTTTTGTGAGGATCTGAAGAGGGGAGGGGTCACTTACTGTGTTTTGATAACCCTGCCTTATTCTCGGAATGAATTTAATAGCAGAAATTCAAGATAGGATATTATATTCAACGTTTAGTTAACCTAGTTAACTATAGCCAAAATACTCCAACTAATGCATAAAGACCAGGTAGTCACTGACTTACGATGCATTTGAGTTATGACAAACCACATACTTTCAGCACCTTAAATCTTAGTAGAAGTTATGTATAATTTGCTGATGACATCCTAAGCTCATAGGTAATATTTCTGACCACAAAAGACAGATCGGGTTTGCAAAAACACTGGTAATAAAAGGCATTAATAATTAAACTAAAAAATGAGACACCAGAGCGACTTTGGAGAGTTGAACCTAATTCACTTTACCTCTTGAACCAATAGTAAGCTTTATAGGTTGGAATACTATACTCTTTTACGAATAACTGAGTTATATATTTTCACTACATTCCTTACTGATTTCTTTGTGTAGAGTTAGAAGTGTGGTAATGTATTTATAGGTAAGCCTCAAAACTGCAGAATGAGTTTTCTTAATTTTTGGGTAGGGAAGGTATCCTTGCTATTTGCATTGATTATTTGAAAAGGAAATGGAAATCATGTGAGTATTAAATTATGGAAGGTAGTGAGTTGCAGTTTTATAATTTTCTATAATCTCTTCAAGCTCTTACAGCGATTAAACAAATGTATTTCAAAATGGCAAGATTCTGGAGAAGCTTACATTTAATTTAGATAAAGGCTACATGGATTTGGGGTTAAGGGACAGTAGGTTGAGAGTGTAATTGGATGTTCATCTATGAATGAAGTGGATTTAGGTATCTAGTTTGAAGCTATTTTAATCAGGTACTTATTTGTGAGATATCGTTAACTGCACTTGAGTCGGTTGTGACTCAGATATTGTATTAGGGTCTCTGAGGAGCAGCTGGTGGGTTTAAGTTCCAGCCTTGTGGTTAGCAGTCCAGTGCTGATCGGATAGCACCAGACTAGGACTCCCAAGTAATTGAATTTGTAAAGTGCTGTCGCGTTGATTCCAACCCATAATAGTGACCCAGTATAGGGTTTCCAAGGAGTAGCTGGTGAGTTTGAACCACCAACCTTGCAGTTCAAATGACTGCAGTCTGATGAATTAACATTAACCCACAGCAAGTATTTGAAAGGTAGAATGAAAATGAACTGACAACGTTTAATGAACTTGAATTTTTATTCCTGGTTTTGACATTGGCAGTATGTATTTCACTTGATAAGTAATTGGCTTCCAGTAGTGAAGTTTGAACTAGAAGTGAACCACTAAATAAACAGGGCTTCACAAAGTAACCGAGGCTTGTTTTGGAAAGGACTAAATTGAAAGTTTGGAAGTAGATTTAAGTTGAAATAAGGCAATTGGGGCTGTCAGGAAAATTTTCCTCTCTGAGCATCTCTGCCATTGTACTGTCCTCTTTTTATATGTGGTATTTAAACAAAGGAAAAGGGTAAAAAAGTCACTGTAGTACCCAGCCTTGACTTCAGAGTCAGGCATAAAATAGTTGTTTTTCACTCAGCAAAACATGCTTAGGCTATGATGGATAAGTCATTGGAAAATGTACCAGTCCACCTTTTTAACGGGGATAGGTTAAAATTAGTTAACAGAATATTTACATATGAGCAAGGTGTTAACTCTAGTACGTTCATCTTCATCTTTTTCCTTGTTTCTGTAATCTGAGACATGAATCTTTGAATACTACACAAATCTTTAATATACAAGCCATTGTGAGAGCAGAAATGAATTATTCTTGACAAATGTCCAATATACTTTATCTTTAGAATGTTAATTTGACTAAATTGGAGTCCCTGTGCCATGCTAACTAAAGTTTGAACCTACCTGTTGGCAGTTGGCATCAGTAAAGATTACCACTTAGGAAACCCAGTAGAGCAGTTCCACTCATGCGGTGATTTAGGAATTGAAAATGGTCCTGGTCCGTGGCGCTATGGTTAATGTGCTGGATTACAAAACTGATTTGCATCCCTGTCACCAGTTCAAGCTCATCAGCTGTTCAGAAACCCTATACAGGGTTGCTATGAGTTGGAACCTACTCATAGGCACTTTAAATGCTGTTGAGTCAGTTCTGACCCATAGCGACCCTATATAGGGTTTCCGAGGAGAAGCTTGGTGACCTTGAACCACCAACCTTACAAGGTTTGGCTTTGCAATCTGATGTATTAACCCACCATGTGTAACAGCTACAAAATGCTAACTGTCAGGGCGGGTGGATTTGTTAATGTGGATAAATTGGTGTGGCCCTGTTGACTATATTAACCTGGGGCATGATTGGACGCTTAGACAAGTTGCTGTGGCTCCCCTCTTCTGATGTTGGCACCATCCCTAGTTTTAATCCTTTGGAATGTGACGGTTGTTGGTGAGTTGGACTTGATGAGGACTACTGGTAAGTATAAAATAGACTTAAAAAGGTTTTTTTTTGATGAGGACTATTGGTAAGTGTAAAATAGACTTAAAAAGGTTTTTTTTTAAATTTAAGAACAATCCGTTTCTACATGTACAATTCAGTGATATTACATTCTTAAGACTTGTG